TTCTCATTGAAATATTGAGATGCTTTTGAAACAGCTACATGAAGCATTAGATGTTTAACCTGACATTTTATCACCTGATCATCACTAAATCGATTCTGTCATGAGAAATGTATGAATGTTAGTGCTGAGTGGTTTCTCTCACTCACTCCTGTGCATCTGTGCTGCTGGTGTGTTGCAGTCAGGTCGTGTGGACAAGAACTACCCGCTGGTGATCGGACACTCTGGGCCTGTCCTCGATATCGACTGGTGCCCTCATGATGACAACATCCTGGCCAGCTGCTCAGAGGATTGTACTGCAATGGTAATGAGAGTGTGTGTGTTGTGCATAAATGTGTGTGTCTGTGTGTGTGTGTGGGAGGGAGAAGTTTCTAATGCATGTGGAGGAGTTTGTTGTTCGGTGACTCAGATAACATTCATAGTTTGTCGCCCGCCTGAGTATAATGAGCGATAAGGGACCTGGATCAGTGGAGGCATCGCTGTGTCTACCTGTCCGCCCACCTGCTCTGCCTCGTATCTTCCTCTTCATCAGTCAGCTCGTCACAGTCTGGTGTGTGTCCGCACGATTGTCTGGTTCCTTTGATAGAAATATAAAAGGAACTGATTTATGTTGATATGAAAACCAGTGTAACCTATTTAACTCTCAAATATGTGAATCTGCAGTTTAACATAAGTAAACAAATGATAGAAATCTCATAAATAATAAAAATACAAATTAATACAAATGTTGAAGAAATTGAAAATAAATTCCTGGATCCTGGATCAGTTTGTTGGAGGGTCAGGAGTGAGGATGTGAAACACAAAAGAAGACAGACGTCAAATTCATTTATTTCAATAAGGGAATAAATGATTGATGGATAAAACTACTATAGGTCAAAAAGATGAGATGATATGATCCATAAATTTACTTATGTCCATTTGGTCCTTTATGCTCAACTGTGCAACATGTCAAGTTAGTCAGCATGTGTAGCTCATACAATTATTTTATTCATGACAACATGTCTCTTGTCTCAACATGGATCTGCGTATCAGTTCAGTTCACAACAACGTCACAGGAATGATTGAATCGCTGCCTCTCCTATGGCAGCAGCTGCTGGGATGTTCTCTATCGTGTGTGTGTGTGTGTGTGTGTGTTTATGTGCTCTTTGTTTATGTGCAGCACACAGACAGACAGTTGCAGCTGTCCAGTCTTGGCTGTGTTACAACTGTGTAGCTACAGTGAGGCCATAACTGTGATGTCAACGGCTCATTGTGTCATCTGATAAGCCTCATTAGAGTGTGTGTGTGTGTGTGTGTGTGTGTGTGTGTGTGTTTAGAGTATTGTGACATGTTAGATCTGTGGTGATGGTTGCAACAACTACAGATTGTAACAGCAACCATTGAGGGAGGTTTACCAGACTTGGATGGGACTTTATCTCCAGATCATATTTGTAATCATATGGTATAAATGATTTGTTATCAACATTACAACACTGGCTCTTCAATCCAACCTCCCTCCTCCAGGTTTGGCAGATCCCAGATCATTCTCTGACCCGTCCCCTCTCCGATCCAGTTGTGGTCCTGGAGGGACACTCCAAACGTGTTGGCATCGTCACCTGGCACCCCACCGCACGCAACATACTCCTCACTGCGGGTAAGAAATATACACAAGCACGTCCTCTGATGTCTCAGTACACACACATGATTCAGCCTCCGTCCAGACGACCATCGTTTTATTCTGCTCCCATCACCCCCACCAGGCAGTGATAACCTGGTAATCATCTGGAACGTGGGGACGGGCGAGCCTCTCATCTCCATGGACGACCACCCAGACCTCATCTACAGCATCAGCTGGAACCGAAACGGCAGCTTGTTTTGCACCACCTGTAAGGACCGACGGCTGCGTGTGTGCGACCCCCGCAAGAGGGAGGTGGTTGCGGTGAGTGAGTGGAGAATAAATGTGAAATACAAACACTACAGTACAATTCATTCATACATGACAAGCTTGGCAAAATGCAAATCACAGCTAAAACAACGTTCTACAGCTGTTGTAGCACTTTGGAATAAGACAAATGTTTATTTTTAGCCTTAAATTTATTTTTTATAGTAAAAGTCTGTCCTCCGCTGATCTACAGGAACGTCTGGCTCCACACGAGGGGATCCGGCCAATGAGAGCCATCTTCACCAGAGACGGGAACATCTTCACCACAGGATTCACCAGGATGAGCCAGAGAGAGCTTGGACTCTGGGACCCGGTAACCAACCATTCCATTTCATGCCAATTCGTGACACACTGCTCATGCATTATCAAAAAGGGACACAAATACTGTATGTGCTCATATATATGCATGTACGCAACACAATACGGGCTCTCTGTATTGTTTTTTTTTTATCCTCCACAGACAAACTTCGAGGAGCCTATTGCCCTGTTGGAGTTGGACACAAGCAATGGAGTGTTGTTACCATATTATGATGCAGATGCAAACATGGTCTACCTCTGTGGAAAGGTACACAAGTGTAATTCTATGTATAGACAGGTGTGCATGCATGTTAATTATGACGATGTCAGCTTTTATTTGACATGATTAATTCGTGTGTGTGTGTGTGTGTGTGTGTGTGTGTGTGTGTGTAGGGGGACAGCAGTGTCCGTTACTTTGAGATCACAGAGGAGCCGCCCTACGTCCACTACCTCAACACCTTCAGCACTAAGGAGCCACAGAGGGGGATGGGCTTCATGCCAAAGAGAGGTGTGGACGTCAGCAAATGTGAGATCGCCAGGTAAGAACCAGACTGTGCAGTGAATCAGGCCACAGCTCGTTTGATGGGATGTAAAGAGAATATGAGAGAAAAAATGTTGCTCAAGGAAGGTTTTCAAGCTCGATCACTGCTGGGATGACAAATCACTAATATTATGAGATGTCACATGCAGCACACTTGATATTGGTAACAACAGCTATTAGAGGCCTTTCTCATATTTCAGGCATCTTATTACCTCTGTCCAGGAGCTTATGGTTTTGCCCTTCTCCATTGATTTGTTTCAGATTACGCAAAAACAATCAGGCACATTTAAGGGAGTGATAATAAGAGTGTGTGGGGTTTGGTGATTTACTCACACTCACAAACATTATGTATAAACTCTCTCAGGTTATACAAGCTGCTGGACAAGAAGTGTGAGCCCATCACAATGACAGTGCCTAGAAAAGTAAGTCCCACTGACTCACTGATCAAACCTCTCAAGCGTGTGAACACTACATTTCCTCTTGTGCTGCTACTTTTGTGCGGCGGTGTCAAATTTCTCAATTGTGAAAAAATGTTTCAAGTAATCTTCCAAAAATAGAAATTCAAATCAGCTCCAACTTTATCAGCTACAAAAACAGAATCTACCTATGAGTTATTTTAATTTGCCAAATCTTCAGTACTTTTACTCATGTAACAATTTGAATACAGTAGTTTTTATTATTCAATTTTATATATGAAGTATGTTTTTATTTTGCTATTTATTGGATTTTTAGAGATAAAAACAAAGAAAATTGATTAACACTGCAAAAGCAATCACTGTCTCACCCTCTCCTTTTCTGACCTTGACCTCTTTCTCTCACAGTCGGACCTGTTCCAGGACGACCTGTACCCAGACACAGCGGGGCCTGAGCCCGCCATGGAGCCGGAGGAGTGGTTGGACGGCCGCGACGAGGATCCCATCCTGATGTCGATGAAGGAGGGCTACGTGCCGCCAAAGAGCCGAGAGCTCAAAGTGGCCAAGAAGAACATGCTGGACTCCAGACCCACCACCCGACGTAGCATGTCCACTTTGGACACCAACAGCCTGCCAGTAAGTTCTGTAGCTCATCTGTTGTTACTAGTTTCTTCTAGTTTATCTATCTTTTGTCTATAATCTGAATGCACTCTTTCTCTTGACTACATCTGGATCTCTGTTTGATCCTTTTCTGATCATCTCTCTTCTATTTGTACCCACCCACAACTTTATTTTTCCAAAGCTCCCTTCTTTGTTTTGGTTTAGTTTTTCTAGCCGCTCACTGTCCTTGACCTATTTTTCCTCTCTCCTTTTCTTTATCCTTTAATTTCCCCCTCCCTGTCGCTTTTCTTCCTTTCCTCTTCTGTTTCTCTTCCCCTCCTCCTCTTCACTCTCCTCCTGTCCAGCCTCAGTTGCTTGACAGGTTGTTGGAGGAGCTTCAGAATCTGAAGGCCACAGTTTTGTCTCAGGAGAAGAGAATCTGTGACTTGGAGAATAAGCTTTCGCAGTACACCAATGGCACTGACTGATGTGCATGTGAATACACCTTCTGAAGAACTGGTCTGAATTTCGTAGAAACACGTTTCCCATGCACTGTCGAGGACCTGCTCTCCTACATACACTAATAACACTGTTGTCCCTTGAAAGTGCCATTTCAGAGCAGGAAAATGGACAATCTACATGAAAACTGTCTGTGCAACACTTTTTAACAAAACACATCCATATCTCAAACATTTTCTGTGGCTGATTCAACATAATCCCCACGCCGGTTTTATCATAATGTACCTTTAATGCTATTGCAAAAATATTTTGATATATTTACAATATTTAAAGTGATTTGACAATAGAAGGGTTCCTCCTGGACGGAGGAGGCTGCAGGTTAGAGGGACATGTGCAAGTTGTGATAAAGGTTTAGTAGAAGTAAGCAGACACTGTTATCGCTTTTTTTTAAATAACAGTGTTAAAAAATAACAAATATGTTAAAGTAATGGGATGTTTTTTTTAATTTGTAACTTTAATCTTCAAATTCCTCCTATTACATGGTAGTAAACATACTGGACCCCCCCCCCCCACTATGTCACCATCAACATGCATAAGAGAGTCCCACAATCACGGGCCAGTTGATTTAAATGAGTCCCTTTGCAAACTTTTCAAAATGTAAATAGTGAAAAAGGAAACCGGAGAAAAATTGCTTAACTTGTAGCAAAATGTGAAAATGTTTTCTGTAAAGAATTATACATTAGACAATACTATGACAACAATAAAAAAAGTGTTTTTTTTTAAAGAAAAATAAAATGTCTGCCACTTCCATTTGTTGGTACAGCAAACCCTACGACAGTCTTTCTGTCTCGGGGGAAGCAACAGGATTTCTCTTTTCATGATTTTAAAGGTCATCATACCTCATCTCTCTGAGGAAAATCTACTTTAATAACAGCAGCAATGCAGATGAAAATCAGTTTTTAATGTCAGAGTACAATAATCAATTTTGCAACTAGCTTTACTTTGAAAAAAGAAAAAAAAACACCTTGTGCTCAACCTGAAACAGATTGCAGTCATCATCATCAGATTGCAGTTATACAGCAGGTTGATCAGAGCTTTACTGGAGTCACTGAATTCCCCCCTGAGTCGTCACATGGAGCCCGAGCACCAGCGTGCTCAGGAAAAGAAAGAGTGACTGAGTGACTTTGGTGGATGAAGAGAGAGCATCTGGGGAACTCTCCTTGAGAGAGTAGAAACAGAGGCCCACATTTCCCACCCGATCCACAGCCAGGAGCTCCATGTCAGGTGAGCAGCAAGACGCCCTGTAGGACACCAGTGTTATGTTCGCGTTGTCAGCGTCCAGGCTGGTGTCCAGGGACCCGTTGCCTTGTTTGAGGCTGACGCGCTCTACACCCACCCCGCCATCCCCATCAGACACCCGCACAGAGAGCTCCCATGTCGAGTTGCAGGCACCAGAGCAGTTGGACAATTTGAGCAGCTGACACACCGGCTGAGTGAAATCAGTCACCTATGAAGAAAAAAGAAAAGAAAGATGATAAGTGAGTTCATCCATTAATGAAGGTCATGGAAAAGAAAACCCTTTAATTTATTACTAAATATAGGGTCAGTTAGAAAAAGGAATGTCTGAACTACGAGACACATTTTCCCATAAAACAATTTAAACTGTGAAACAGGTCATGACATTCAAAATCATTTATTTAGAAATGAAATAAATCTCATGACAGGAAAAAACTGAAACTGAAAAAAGTAGACAAACTTGTCAGGGTGGTGAATGCCCAATGCAACACGAAGCTCTATTATCAGATGTAGAAAAAAAAACTGTTGTAAGTAAAAGAGGAGTCATGCATTCCAGTCTCAGGCGTCAGCTGGAAACATGCTGAAGATATTATCTCTGTTCGGTGGAGCGCTGGCGTGTTTTACAGAGATCGAGCCCATGGCTAAGAAGCTGCAGCCTCTTCTAGAAAAATTAATTTGTTGATATGAACCAAGATATTGAAGAACCACTGAAGGACACTGCAAGAAATCTCCAGTTTATTCATGAAGGATGGTCCTAGAAAGGATGTTGTAAATAACTGTCTGAAAGCAGTAAAACACTCAGAAGATTGAAAGGTCCAGTGATAAATGAATATTTTTAAAATCTTTAAAAAGAAATAACAAGTTACATAATGTTTTCTAGGAAACCTCCTATCTTTAATAAACGCGACTCTTAAATGGGAGTATTACCGTGTTAAGAACGGAGAAACGCAGCATGACGTAGTTGGTGTCAGCGCCCCCTGGAGCCTCGGCTTCAATGGTCATGGTGAAATCAGTTCCAGATGGAGTGTTGAGCGGTGCGGTGATGTTCACTGTGCCATCTGTGCTGTTTCCAGAGACCAGGATTAAAGAGGTTGGAGATACTGAGTTAAACCGTTGTTGGTTGTTGGTGGCTCGGATGGTGAAGTTTCCCCCGGTTCCACTGGTCGTCACAGAGAAGGGCACAGAGAATAGTGTTCCTGGTACTAGGATGGGATTTGAATCGGCCTAAATACAGAGAAAAGATAAAGCATTTGTAGTGATGAATGCTAATGGTTGAAATAAAGTTTTTGATGGTCTGGGATGGGTACTCACAGTGATGGTCACATTAGAGGCTCTGAAGCTGGTAGGTGATTGCCTTTGGAAGACGCCCGATGAAGAGCTGCCATCTTTCCCCTTCACCCGCACCACAAACTCCTCCGATGGCATCTGGTCAACCCGAACCAAGAAATTTCCACTTCCCTGTGACTCCAGAACTCCGTTAACCTCCTTCGACCCCCTTGATTCAACCAGGGTGACTTCCGTCAGCGTGCCAGAGTCACTCCCCGTTAAGGTCACCAACAAGGTACCGTTCACACCTTTTAAAGAAATTCTTTTTTAACCAGTCTGACTTGATTCATCAAATTCACTCTGAAACATTCCTTTACCAGCTCTGGGGCGTGTGTCAAGAGCGTCATATCCGGTGAACGGGCCCTGCGACGCCTCCACAAAGTCGAACAGGAAGTCAATAGAACTCTGACCTAAGAAAAAGAGGAAAGAATCAAACAAAAAGGTGAAGTCAACAAGTTGTACATTTTCATAATCAGTGCGACTCAACCTGCATCTTAAGGGCAATTTAGAGTCACAGCTGAACTTGAGCTGCATGTCTTTGGGCTGCGGGGGGGAAGCCGGAGTTCCATGTGAGATTATACTGAAAAATGAAAGCTAAAGTGGAACAGAAGCTGAACCTGATGTGGTATTTCAAGAAGAAATCTCTTTATAATTTCAGCTGCATTTCTCAAATACAGTTGTGTCAAAATCACGTAACCTGAGCATGTGTCGAGCAAAAAGAGGAGAGCATGCTTTCTGAGAAACAAGCCACAGCAAGGATTTAATCAATCTTTATCAATCATTGGTTTCTCACCTATGACCTTCAGAGTGTAGGGATTGGTCGACATCATTCTTATTTCCCACTGTCCAACTTCTGTTTTTATACGCAGAGTCCTGAAGTTTCCCACTGACTGCGATGCGGTGATCAGTGAGCCTGTTGTGTCGGTGCTTTGCTGTGATTCACCTTCAAAGAAAACCAAGACAGCTTGTTGGCAGGAAATTACTGATGCAAAATATGTGCAGCAACTACTTTTGTAAAGGAGCAGCAATGCAAAGTGTGACTGTTACAGCTACTTTCACACCAGACCACCTCACAAACCTTCTTAATTCACATGGCAAACAAGATATTCTTCACTGATTTTCTTATCTGTCTTAGAGTTACTGTTTTGGAAGGGAGGAAGATCTTTGAATAAATGAGGAAAATGTATTTGCTGTCTGATGATAACGCTGAAATAAATAGATTTGAGTCCAATTGTAGCTGCAGCTCTGCTCCATAAAACAACAAATCCAATTCTGCAAATGGTGTAATAAGTGGTGTTCTGCAACTATAAAGTATTACCATTGGGGCTGATGAGAGTGAAAGTGACAGATTGCCCGGTGATGTAAACTCTCGGGTTTGTGATTGTTCCATCGACCCTGAAGAAGAAATTCTCCATTTTTCCTGGGTTCCTGGCTGCTTGCAGAAGGGTCACCTGGAAAAATCACATAAAACCAGTGAAACAGCTGAGATCCTTGAGGTGACAATGCTAACTAGCAGCGAGATGATTGTGCCATCACCAATGAGGAGCTGGTGGACTCTGTTATGATGCTGGTGGCCACGGGGAGCTCCGTTTTTGTGACTTCAATAGCCTGACCTCCTGAAGCCTGAGCCAGGTCTCTGTACACCTGAGCGTCTGATGTGGTGATCGCTCTCTGTCTCCTGATGTTGTCACGCAGAATCCGACGATTGGTCACTGTTGAGTCAGTAATCATGAAGTTCACCTGGAGAAAAAAAACACATTCAAAGTGTTACATTCAACTTAGCCAACCATGCAAGAGAAACCCATTGGGATCTCCCCAGAAAGAGCTGGAATTTGTGGCTATAGGGAGAGGGCCATCTGGAATACCCTGATTGTGACCCAAGCCTGGATAAATGGAAAATAATGGATGGAATGTTTTTGGTCACAAAACAAGAAAAGAAAAGTTACAGCATTTGTTACTCACCACTGTTTGAGTTCGCTCTATGAGTGCAATCACTGCACTTTTCAGGTGTTTGTCTTTAGCAGGCGCATCAGTGAAGAGGAAGATCTCAGAGTTTAAAGGAACAGCACTTAAAGCCATCTGGGTCAAAGAAAACAGTAACGATGGGCTACAAGAAATTCAAGTTCTCTTAAAGTAGATGAATAAACTCAAAGACGTGACCGAACCTGCAGCCCAGAGAGACTCAGCTCTTCATCGTCTCCTCCCCCAGTAGCCGACAGTGAGTTGATAACGTTCTTGAACACTTGTGGGTCTGTCGTCTTTGTCAGCGGCCCAAGTTCTGTGCAACATTTGGAAACAAGAGTAAGAATTACGTTTCTAGGATCTAGGATGACACGTGGAAATCTGCTGATTTATTACAATTGGGAACATGCCACAGTTTTTAATGAACAGAACCTGGATCATTGAACGGTACGAGAATGTAAGTGGAGGGCTCGTTCTCTGTTCCCACTTCACTGTTGATTATGGAGGAGGTGACGTCCCTCACTGCCTCAATGTCATCACTCATGCTCTTTGTTGTGTCGATCACGAAACAAAGAGCTTTACTGGATCCTTTGGAGATTCCCATCATCCTGAGGGGACGAAGAGCGACAGATAAGAGATTGAAAAAAAAACAAGCAATGAGCAACTGTGCACATCGAAGTGTGCAGAAAGGTTTTCGTACTGGAGGAAGGCTCTGTCACCAGCAGCCCTTCGAACATCGTCTAGTAGCTGACCGGTTGCAGCTATGGCCATGTTTGCCGCTTCAGTGTGAAGGTGTCCATGATTAGACTCAAACTCGTCTTTGTTGATTCCACCTTTAGGCTCAATGGTGCTTGTTTGATCCACCCCTCCTCCATGGCTGCATTTTCCTGTTTAACAAACACAGTGTGAAAACAAAAACTTGAAATTGACATGAAAGGATTCCTATAATTTACATTTATCTAAAGCCGTTTTCAGACATGTACTCTGCAGAATGTCCATCCAATTGGTTCTGGTCTTTCTCCGGCGTTTGTCTATTACACATGAACAATGCTCAACACAGAAATCTCTGGAGCGTAGAGGCTGGATTTATATCTATAATTTCTGCTGCACGTTGGCAGTGGCGTTGGCTCTTATCACCAAAAGCTCTCCTGAGATCTTCGTCTGTGTGACATATTTGCATTCTTTATGCTTTTATTTGTAATTTTGACGTGTGTTAAAAATGTCCTTTGGGCATTATCTGGAGTTCTATTCTAGGGGGACCAGCCTGAAAAAGTCTTGAGTCTCTCACTCTGCATTCTCACATACAGTCCCTCTGGAGAATGAAATAATCAGTGCATCTCTGACTGCAGCTTAATATACACAAATTATACATTCCTTTGTTATATTTACTTCAGCATTAATGGGTAAATTAACAAATTATTTACCTTTTGGTTTTGTTGAGACTATAGGCACAATACCAAAATAGCCGGAGGTCAGTATCCCCTCTGCTATGACGTCCTCCAGAATGTTGTTGGTGCAGTCGTCTCCTTCACAGTTTCGACACGTTGCTCTGCTTTTTTCTGAGGAAAAGTTCATCAACAAGACATTTGGTTTCTTGTTTGAGATCATTTCAATCACACCCAGACTGCATTCCTCGAATGTTTCCTTACCTGCTAGGTTTCCAATGCTGGTGTCAGATCGGATCAGATTTGAGTTTGGGAATTTGTTCCCCAGTTCCACCCAGTTACTATGACTGTAGAAATCCTTAACCAAAGAAGATAAGGGGCAGTAAGTCATCAAATCTATCTGGATCTAAAGCAGTAAAATGTGAATGATGAATACCTGTAATGGATGTAAAATCTCCCCCAGTTTCTCCCTCGCTGCCTCAAAGTTTTCTTGCTTGTTGCTTGCTTTGACGGCCTGGACTCCCTCTGCAATGATTCTCCTTCCTTGCACAAACATTTCCTCATCAAAGTGGAAGCTCCCATTGAGTGCATGACGGAGATCCACCCGTACGTTCCGTAATATGACAGATGTTAAGGCCAGCTGGAACCTCTTGGATGATTTTTTTGCGTTGCAGGCAACAACAACAGCTTCTGTGGTGTAAGGCTGCGACTACACACACACACACACACGCACACACACACACACAGTTAAATCATACAGACATTAGTGACAGATATGTCATTTCTGGTGCAAACTTCAAGTGAAGTGAACTCTTACAGGGAATGTAAAGTCTGCCCCTTCTGCTTGAGCCAGATCACGGCACACTGAAACGACGACATTTAAAATTGCACTCTCAGTGATTTCCAGGTGACTCTGAGATTTCCCGGGTAATATCCCAAAGCCATGAGCTCCAGAGTGCAGGAGCAGGAGGCACAACGCGGCCAACTCTGACGCCATAACCTACCTGAGGAGAAACACATTTCTTTCAGCTATGTTTGTTGGTTTTGGCAGCTCATGGCATCAGTTACATCTTCATTTCTTGCTTTCAACAACACAACAAAGGATGTGTTACATGTCGCAAATGCCACAACTGGAAATACTTTTTTATGCTGATCGAGTTTTGCTTAAAAAGACTTTTGACAGCAAACAGAACTGTACATGTGATCACAAAATCACTTTATCATTCGCACAACGTCAGTTTATATTGCATTGGAAAGGATCATAATAAAAATCAGCTCACTCCTCATTACTCACTCACGAATAGAATTCTTCATAATCAGTCATACACACACCCTTTTCTCTGTATAAACACTAATCATTCAACCATTCACCACCAAATCTACATTAAAGCATGAAAACGTTATGAAGTTCATCTTAATATCTTATGAATGACAGTTTACAGTTATTTCAAACAACCTGCAAAACCCTTTTAAACCAGAAAACATGATTTTTAATATTATTTGTAGAAGACAGGAACTATGTACATTTACATTTATATAAAAA